GAAGATGATAATATCGATTGGGAACTTATTACAAAACAACTTGAAACTGTAAGATGAGAAATTCAAAATAATACAGAATATTTCTTTTTTCTCTTCAACAGAAATTACGAACTTCAACAGATATTATTCAATTATCATCGGATGAAAATTATTATACCAAGTCACCATCAACAAAATCAAAGAACTATAGATCTCATCCAATAACTAATTATGAACCTGCAGGTATCGTTTGCATCACAGAATGAATAACATACACCTAAAAAATAAAACATAAGTGCATAGAAAAAGGTGTCAATGATGTCACGTGGGAGTATTATTCATCATGAATCTTATATATGACTTTTAATCGGACCGATGGATTAACATAGCTTAAAAAAATATCGTAAGAAAAATTCCATTTCATATTTGAAATCTTGTTCTTAGGAATTCTTTACAATAACCTCTATTATTGTTTAACTGTTTGCAAACGATGATTTATTGTTCGAACTCAACACGATAAAAACATTTCAAACAACTGCACGTATGACATTATATATCGAATCGAAAGGTTAAATTTTACTAGCATCATATTGATAATTAAACAGAGAATCGAACTATTGAAACCTTTGATAGAATACAAGAAAAACAATGGTTTCAATTTCAGTTTTTTGCATATTGTTTTACTTGTTTAGACATTCAACAATCATTATCATTATCATCATCATTATCAATAGCATCACAAAATGATGACGATATGATTCTTTATTCAGAAGTATCTATGAAAAAACAAAGCATAAAAATAAATGAAGAAAAATCTATAACAGATGAAATCGAAACGAATCAATCAGTAAGTTATGTAGGTTTATTATTAAAATAATAAATTTCGAACCTTAGATTATTTCATTTAACTTTAACAAAAAGAATTTTGTTCTTGACTCTCTTTTCACATTGACAAAGTACTATAAAAAATCCTTCAAGTTAAATAGAAAAAGAAAAAAAATTGAAATTTTTCTTTTTTTTTTTCCTCTTTCTTACTTGATTGCAATCATTGTATTCAACACATTTCTTATTCAAAAAAAAAATTTCTCGAAACTCTTATTTTTTAACACGATTCTATTGAAAATACATTTTCACTTAACAAAAAAAATATATATTTATAACCTATCATAAAAATTCATACAAAAATAATATTGATTTTTATTTTTATTTTTATGCTCTTTCTATTCAGACATTATCAAAGAATAGTGATCAATCATCTTTATTACATGAATTATTTAACGAATTAATTGCTTGTCAACAGAAACAAGCAGTTCTATTAAAACAAATTCAACAAATAATTAAACAATCAAAACAAATATCTTCATCATCATTAACATTTTTTTTACCTTTAAATTCATTAAATAATAATAATAATAATAATAGTGAAGATAGTCCATCTTTACAAGATGCATTTCAACAACGAAAATCTTCATTTATTCAACAATCAAAAGAGCGTGTTAATCAAATTTATCGTCATAATACTAAATATCATCATCGTATTATACCAAATATAAAAACAACAAACAATACATATTTAAAACAAAAACGACAATATGAAAATGATCGTTTATGTGCAATGATAATAAAACATCAAAATCGACAGAATGCAAAAATTTATGGAAATTTAATTAAAAATTCAATTGTATCATAAATAGAAATGAGACTTTTCTTTGTTCGTATTTTAGATAAGATATTTTGAAAATTAAATTGAATTAGATAATAATAATAATAATAATGAGTGATGATGGAAATCAAGAACGTGAGACAAAAGAAGGAAAAACTAAGACAAAAGGAAATACGGTAAACAAAACAATAAAAATATTTAATTTTAAGGAAATTTTTAGTTTTGTTTTGATTATCTAGGGTGGAACACTTTCACAAATATTTATGGTAAGTTTTATAGATTATGTATTATAACTAAGAAGACATTTTCTTTAAGAATAATTTTAATTAGATTTTATGATTTTTTTTTATTTTGATAAAATTACTCTTGCATTCATTCATATTTTTACATTAAATTTACATTAAGTACGACATATGTTCTCTTTTCAATATGCATAGCTTTTTTTGTTGTGGTCTGACAACTATAGTATAAAACAGTTATAAACGATAATATATTGAAATTCTAAACTTATATTATAGCATATAAATATCATTCTGTACTTATTGTAAACCCATAATGTTTCTTTTATAAGTCTATTGTATTTGACAAAAACAAAATATTCTAGATTAATTTAGTGGAATTGCAATATATGTCTATATTAACACATCAATAGCATTATATAGGCA